AGAGGTACAACTAATCACAGTATCAAATATCTTTAAAGTAAAAATCTTGCTATTGTTGAATTTACTAATACAAACTAGGCTAATGACACATACAATTGTAAGTTAATCTTAGCGTATATCTTTAAATCTATAAGAAGATCCATCACTTAGTCTTCTAAAAAGCAATCAATAATCATCACATCTTCAATAAATGCTAAGACCAAGAGAATTGCCAAAGATATCAAAGAAGCAATTTGGCTTCAAACATTGATACATCGAATTACAAGCAATGAATCTAAGTCTATCATCATGTATTATGACCACTATAATTCTTTGAAATCAACAAAAAATCTAGTAAGTCGTACATGTTCTAAACATGTATAAATATGGCAATATTTCATAAGAGAAAATATTTTGACAAATATAGTAAATCTAGCTTACTTAGTAATCAATAACCAATTAACAAATCTTCTCATAAAAATCCTTGAATGTTTGGAATTTCTTTAGTTTTATGATTAAATAAAAGTACAATATCTTAGTGCTTTTGAAAAACTTTGATCAATCTTTATTTTATGCATTAGCCAAGTGGTCCTCTAAATAAAGTGACTTATTTTATATAGGACAAGTTGCTTTGTGTGGTGGACAACTAAAGAAAATAATATAAGATAGTCTACATATATCCTTACTAAATATAATATATAGATATTTTTATTTCAAAACCTAATTTAACGTTAATTGATTTATATTTTTTATCTGTTAATGAGACTATTTGTAGATAATTACAATGATCAATCTTGACAATCTCAAGACCTTGCTATTCAGTTGTTTTAGTAATATATGACTCCCGATGTCTAATTATTCTTTGAAAATGCTACAAGAGAGACAAATAATAAGAAAAATTTAATTTTGGCTACAAAAATTCTTCAAATAATCATATATAGAATAAAAAGAAGAAAACTTGATCAAAAATCATAGATGAGTTAAAAATTTACTATTAGACTTGTTGAATTAGAAGCCTTAAATAGATATATTGACTAAAGAAGAATATTTTTAATCATTGCTCCAACTCTATTCATAAATTTTTGCACAAACATGAATGTTAGCCATAGGAATAGAAGAAAAGACTCCCACTACATGAAAAATGGAAGGAAGAAGGCATTAGTAATATTTTACAATTCCATCCTTGATTCTAAGGATATAATGAAGACACTTGAAACTTACTACAAAAATTTGATTTCCAATCTCTTGGTTGAAATACACCACAAGAAGGTGATACTTCTCACACTCTTGCCTACAAAAGGATTGCCCAACTTCAACCATCATCACTACTTTTAAGGAAGAATAGATGATCATATACAAGGAGGGCTTTAGAATAGACAGATAGAGAACTCCCCGCAACCAAGATTGAAAAGATAATCCTCTCCATCTTAGAATATATCACCAGTGCTGAAGGTGAGAAAGGATGTTGCAATATTTATTATTTTATCTTGAGGTAATTTTTAGTTAGGTAACTGCAATAGTCACTAGTAGCCAAACTGTTAGGTTATCTCACACCGAGTATAAGTAAAAGACTGTACAAGATCTCTCTCTGCGTATATGCATAATATAATGGTTTTTATTTTTAAGATAAACAAGTATATATATATATATATATATATACATCCAAAATTATTCTGTTTTATCAACAGAATATTAAATGCCAAAAAGCTAGAGGTGCGAATCTTAAGACCATGACTCCAACCACATACAAGCAAACATCCAAGAACAAATTGAAGCATGAAACCTAAAGAAATGAGTTGTGTTTATTGTCCTATGATTAGGACTCTAAGAGAGTAACAAGGATTGGTCGTCCCGAGAGGAGTACCTGACTGTCAAAAAGATTATGGTAAACGGTGCAATGAAGCTTGTGCATCTCAGCAAGCTTGGTCATCGTGTGCAATGAAAGAGCATCAGCAACTCCGCCATGAGCCAGATTCTCTCGCATCTGTGAGCGTTTTTAGGATCTTCTACGAAAAAAAGTGTTTGTAATTTCGAATTTTTAAGTTTGGAAATATTATGCTGATTTAAGTGCAGGTGTATGAGAGCACATTCTCTAACGGCGCCTGAATTCTCGTTCCCTCTGCGAGCGGTTGTCCCCATTTTTTTACGTGTAAAGTGGTCTTTATATTTATATTTGTGGGACGAGGTGAGCGGTCAAAAAATTTAGATTGTTCGATTGGTCGAACTTGCGACGACTTAATTCGAAAAGTCAACTCAAGAGTCCATTTTCACGAGGTGGTTTTTAGAAAGAAAAGAAAAGAAAAGAAAGATACATATTTATACGATGTTACTTTCTTTAATTATTTTTGTTGGTTTTTATCTTGTAAAATTAGAAATAATTCATAATTAAGTATATTGTAGAATTTTAACAATACTGGGTCAACATAAAGAATTGTAATTGCACCTATGGTTATTTTTTAGCAAAAACTTAATACAAAAATGACTCTCATCAAAAACTCTCTTTCTTTTTTCTTTTTTTCTTTCTTGTATCAATTTAATAAATATTCTCTTTTACAATAGTATGTATAGAGATTTTAATTTCCTCAAAAATGGGATCATTATAATAATAGAAGCTAGAAGAGAAGATATGTACTTGTCCAATTCTTTACTTGTAAATTGGGTCTCCAAAGACGCCCCTACCTTGCCCCTACTGTTGCCCCTCCCTTTCTTCTTAACACTCATTTATTTATTCTTTTCCTCCCTTAAATCAATGAATCAAAACCAACCAAGACAAAAACCACACATTCTAGAATTGAATCCAAAAATATCTTTCAAGTCTAACAATAAAGTTCAATCCAGTTTCTAAAACTATTTCTCCAAAAAAACTTCTTTTCTTTTCCTTTCAAGTCAGAAGTTCTTCAAAATCTATGAATCGTCAACCCATTCTCCTCCATTCGCCTCATCCTCCTCCTCCAAGGCCCCCAAAAGAAAACCATGACTTGGGGTGAATGTCAACAATCGTGCCATGTTCCTCTCGATTCTTCCATGTCTTCGCGGTCATTGGCTGCGTCGCGGCGGCGATCTCGACGTCGGAGTTGCAACGACTACAGCGCGAGGATCGTCGATTCAATATCCGGAATGTTCCACAGTACCCAATTCATTCGATGAGAAACCGGACAACGCGTCATGTGATGCACTTGATGACGTGCTTATTCACGAACTCATTGAGTGCAGGTTGCGAGGGATCGATGAGCTGTGTGGCCATGCAATCGACGACGCTCCCCGCATGCATCTCGTTTCGTGATCGCATATTGCCAATTCTGCCATGTACCCCCGTTTGCGGTGATTTCACAATTGCGTGAAGCATGCCCTGGTGCTTGGAGTGAGTTGTCGAGGAATCCATCTTTATGGGGCTTCGGCCTTCGCCCTGCACAGTGTTTAGCGTATCCTGAGCTGACCGTGAGGACATCACCGAGGATTTTGTTTCTTTCATCCACCGATCCCCAGTGGACACTCTGCGTTATATTTCAGTGGCAAGACGAACCTTCTCGATGGTTTGTGGAAGAAGCATTCTGAATAGTTGTTGGGGAGATAAATTCCATACGGTGAATAATGGACACAGTTTGAAAGGATCTAGGTGAAATTGGGAAAGTTTTGGGGAGGAGCGTGAATTTTCGTGGGACAAGCGTGTTGACTCTAAATGATTAAACATACAGTCGAGGAGATGCAGCAGAGGAAATAACTATTTGATCAGGCAATCCATCCACCATGGCCTACTTTCAGCACATGGCAACATTCCTAGACCGAGTCGCAGAGTTGACACCACATCAAAGTCGATCTTTCAGTCTGCACATTGCTTGTGGACCAATGGGATGCTGCCGACAGGGAGCCCCTCGTAGAATCTTCTCACCGGCACAGAATCAAAAAAATAATTTATAACTACTAGGCTAGAAATCTATTTCCAGTGTAGCCCATGGTAAAAAGCACGCGCAGATTGGTGGTAAGTGGAACCATATCGGTGGTTATGCAGAGCCAGATTGGTGGTAACTAAAACCAGATCGATGGTGTACATCCTATCGGGCATGCCCAGGTGCTTTTGAACACTATGTGGGAAAGTTTATAAAAAAAGAGTGAAAAAAACGGTTCACACCTCCTTGTACTGTGCGAAAGTCCCAGTCAAGTCTTACAAACAAGTCGGTAGTTGGTCAAATCCAGTGGTGGTGCATAGGAAATTCTATCACAGTATCCACCAATTGCATTAACAATCCAGAATTGTGAGAATGCAAGACATTTAATTACATCACAAAATTCCACATTGTAGTCAGTTATCAAGGTGGTGCCTCCCCCAATCCGCGAATGTATCTGCCTAAATTGAAAGGAAATCCATTGTTGTGGATGTTCCACTCATACGAAGACCTGATGCACCAACACGGCGTGTTGTTGATGAGGAGGAACTGCTGTAGAACTCAGTATGCAGGCTGTGCAAGAACCCTGCGAACATTCTGGAAAATCAGACTATGACGTGGAGGAGAAACCAAAGTCTTGATCAATCACAGGGGGGTGTACCCCATAATGTATCCATGTGAATATGCTTCGATCGTCTAGATTGCATCAATGTGATCGATAGATAAGTGCATCGAAGCAGTAACTAGTTGTCGAAGTGAAATATCCAATCCATACACATAATCCTATGAAATTAAGCTCAGCTCTGATTTGACGGGTACTTCTCTTCAGTGCATGGTGGGCATTTTCAAACCACTAAAGTAGACACCTCTTGCGAGAATGACTTATCGTATGAGCATGTACATATCGAAGTGTTCCTTAAGATTCAATTCTTACCTCAGGTTTGGGGCTGCCGCTAAGGGTAAACGATTTCTGCAATTTCTTCAAACCACTAGTTTGTGCATGTAATGAACTTCCACAACGAGTATGTAGGAATTTCCACAATAAATCTCCAACATAAATAACACCCAACCTCAGACCTTACGGCATCACCTTGAGATTTCAAGAAGTCTGAAAAGAACATCCATCCTACATTGCTCTTGACGAATCTCTTCCACCAGCAATGTTAAAAAACATTGTCACCTTGAAAAATAGATGGCTTTGATACATCCTCAGACTTGCAAACAGGGTTTTAATGGCTTTGTACCCTGAACCCCGGTCCATCCTTTTGCTAGTGTTAAGAAAAGTGCTAAGTAACCTGAATAAGGCCTTACTGTAATTAGAATACAAAGACAATGAGTACGCTGAACTAGGCGGTTACTACTCCCCTGGCTGTGAATGTGAATGACGTTCGATAATAAGATTTTGAGGAGGCAATTGCCAAGTGCACATTCTGTGCCTGTGAACAACCTATTACTAACAGCAACATTGCTGAGCAGGTCATGAGGCAAACCATGATCAAATCAAATCTAAGAGGGTAATAGAGAAGACCAATTGGTATAACTGAGAAGGAAACTGTACACTATTGCAGTAGCTCCTAGCTAACTGGAGCGTAGTGCCGCTTTGGAGATACGGACACTACACCAACCCCAGGTTCGGTGAATTTGTACCTGTATGACAGACGAGTAGTTTAGCAACCTAACGGACTTCCAATGACTTCGCATAAGTAACCACCTAGACCTGCCTAAATGAACTTGGCATCACAACAGTTAACGTTTAGTGTTTCAAATCAAAAACAAAAAGAGATCATCTGATTGGACCACATGAGCCGCACGCACAATCACAGTAAAAGGCTGAGAGATTTGTAAGGGGGGGAATGAGCTGTGTAGTCCTGAGAGTAATGAATATACCCATGGCTGAGAAGGAAGTTCCTGACCGCCAATGGGAGAGAAGGACCACCCTTACTGTGCCGCCCAACACCTGGAGGATTGTGCGACAAAAAATGAATATCAGGACAAAACTCGAGTTCATTTTTTATTCAAAAAGTTCGAATACTATCACACCAAGTTCGTCGAGATGGAATAATGATCATCCTGTTGACATAAACCCGATCGTCAATAACAGCAGGCCGGCCTTCCTTGATTGGGTATCGATTATAAACTGAAACTAGGTCTGAGGAAATAAAACCTGTTATGACGGAGAGCTCGTTTTTCACAACGGCTCGTGAAGCCGCTAATGGTGACGAATGTTCCTCCTTGCTATTTAGCTCCTTGACACCTGACCCTTGTCCTTTCACTTCTAAGGGTGGGCCTGGCACCCGCTGTGATCTGTAAATAAAAGCTCGGTCCTTTGCCAACTCTTTCTCAAGATGAGTAAGCCGTTCTTGTAGAGCCATAACTGCTTCTGTTGCGTGTAAACCGTGAAGATCAATCGACCAGATACTGGCCGTTCCACCTACTTAAACCAAAAGAAAAACAAGAGAACCATAAGAATCACCTCAATATTCAACATACAGGTCTTTGCACATGACCAGAGATGCAAAGAACAAGCTAAATTACAGACAGCTCTGCTCCATCGAAAACTCCAAATTTCAAGAAAAATGCCATAATTCACCTCTCAGATTTCGCAGTTAAAATTATTTTCCATAAGAGTTTTCTCACATTGAAACAGAAAAAACATTCGGAGCCCGACTAACCCGCATTCCTGGAATAAAGAATTTCCTCCGCAGCTTGCGCATGCCCCAGCTCCGCAGTTTTCCAGTTTTCGTGCGCTTCTCGAGAGAACAGCTTCGCATCAGCGTGATCCCCAGCCATGTAGGCATTATGCGCATTCCTAGCATACTTTCCCCGAGCCCTGTATAGAAATAACCATTTCAGCTTCTAACCGACCTTCCTGAGGAAACATTACACGATCAAAAACTAAAACAAAACACGACAGTACCCAACAATACCTGCACACTTGCTCCTTTACCCCAGTAAACCCAAGAATAAAATCAAAATCATGGCCCGCGCCAAACCCTCGCGTACCGGCTCAGCCGCAATGCCTCTCTCCGAAACTTCAAATACACATCGTTCTCCTCGCACTCCATTGCCTCAGCAGGACGCAATCCATCACCAGTTGAACCATCTTTGCCACCTTCCCTTTCAACTGGAGCCGACTTCAGTCCGGCCATAGCATCCAGCTGCCCACTGGCCATGGCCTCGTCCCCGTCCACGGCCTGCAGCACGTCCCGTAGCAACAAATCATCCGCCCAGTCATATTGCTCGCGCAATCTAGCAACCGCTACGTCCTCCTGGCTCAAACTCGTCTCACTCGCTCCTCCTCTAGTGGGTAGCCCCTTGCTGACCACACTCACAGACGGCGTTTTCAACCTTGCACGCCGTGCTTCCCCACGTCCTCACTCTGCTGTCTCGCGCCTTGTAATGACGGGAAGGGATCCTCGTAGACAGATTCGGAACCTTTTTGCATCAGGCGCGTCAGCGACGCCCACCCCTGAGGCTTCTCCACCCAAGCTCTACAATAAAAAAAATTACTATGCAAAAACATCGACATGGACAGGGACGACCACCTGCATTCGTCTTGTGTAGGACGTCTGCTTCCAGTGGCTACCGGCTGCTGGAGCACTCCCCAAGACTGTCAAACCTGTTGAAAGCCCACTGCCAGGCGTTCAACGAATTGCGAACCTTCCGATTTTGGATGGCCAGCGCTTGACGGTTGTAGTCGAAATGGTATTTTCTCCGATGCTGTGAAAGACTACTTTTGATTCGTTCGGAGAAGACAAGTATGAGCCTTACATCTATGTTCCTATTTCTGTACTATCTTAGAAATAAGATCAGCTATTTCCTCTTTCATGAAGTTAGGGTCTACAAATATTGTGGAGGTCAACTCAAGTTGATTTTTGTGCACAATGAGATGCTTTCGGACCTAGGTTCCGAAGACGTTCAGTTGACAGATGAGACTCGGCATCATTGATTGACATAATCGTTGATCATATAAGTTCGATTTCCACATTGATATTTAGTGCTTCACCTTCAAAATATCTTTTTCCTGAACATCTCTTGTGAGTGCCTCCAGGTATCCAAACACTATCATGATGTATACAAGGTCATCGAAAATCTAACGAAGAGAAAATCCGTGTCCACAGCAGGACTCAGGAAAACCATACTTTCATATTTTTGATAAACTAATGGAAGTGTTCATTAGCGAAGCACGCAGCAAGAAAACTTGCAAATTGTCCAAGTTTTGAATTCATAGCAAAGGTTGCAAACAATCATAACAACCTCAAGGTAGTAAGGTCCCAAATTCCTGAACATGCCGAGATACAAACGTTAGTTAGTATCAGCTCTAGCAACAAGGTGGGTGGAAGTCTAACATTTTCTGGAATTGAAAACCAACTCCATGATTCGTTTCAGCTTCCACTACATTCCCTACTGCGAACATTCGTCACGCTGCTGAAAAGCACGCCGCATGTTTTTGAGCATTCTGTCAAAACCTGAGAACAAAATTTGAGTTCACTGAGTTGGATATCAGCACGAAGAAATGGTTCATAGTTTATGATTACCGTCTTTCAAACTACCTACAATATCAACTGAAGAAGATATAAGAAATAGGTTGCAAAATTAGAATTCTCCTATAAGAGTTCTCAAAACATCACATACCTTGTGCTGAACGTATGCGCGATTAAGATGCCAACAAACCAAAAAATGGCTTGAAAGTACCACTGCAAAGGCGTTAAAATCAACCAGACAACTCAGACATTCGTGCTACTCGCAGTGATCTTTAAAGTTTCACGAATGCGCGAAGGGATAAGAACCCATGGTCTGTTGTTGGTATCTACGCCCACAGACTCGAAGGATAACTGGTATTGACCAACTGGAAATGATGCAACATCCAGATTGCAAGAGGAAAACCCTTTTCCTTTTTGATCCATGATAAACCTAGTAAAACTCCTTCCAAAAGCCCCGGCTTTCTTTGCAGATCCTTTGACACCCTTACGTGAGAAAGTATCCTCTTTTAAAGTAGGCAGAAATAATAGCTCTTGCTCAAGTTTGATGGCATCCTGGACATCGTCACACGTGGCCCGTTGCACAAGTTTTTCAACTAGAGAAAAGTCTATAAGAGACTGGTTGGAAGCTTGGCCTTCATGCCACCCCAGCTTCCAATCTGCGTACAAGTCTTCTTCTACGAGCGAGGCGCTCTCAACACCGTGAAAAGAGAGGACACAAAAGAGGGAAGAAATTCTTGAAGAGATTCCCACAGGCACGTTAGTAAGCTGAGCGCAAATACTCAGAAGAAGAGAAGAACCTTGTTTCACAGAGAGTTCAGTGACCTCTTCACCTCCAGTTTGGGCTACGAACAATTCCACAGCTGCACGCGGCCTGCTTGTTCACCACAAACACAAGGTATGAAGAATTTTCGAAGCCAAAACCTCAAAAATGGCAGTTCACACGATGGGGAATATACTTTACATAGGACACGAAACATTTCCATTGATTATGATAAAATTTGTCGAACAAAACAACATCCAAGTAATTATGTCAAAGACTCAACCACCTGAGCAACTGGTCATAACGAAGAGTTATGCTACAACGAATTTTAAGATTCATGTTATATTTTTGACACCAAAAAGAAAACATGAAAGCAAGGAAATACCTTGTGCAAAAAAAGTATTTTGGAATGGGGAATGGAAGTTGTGAACATTCTCCAATCAATAGCTGTAAGAAGCGCAGAGGTTCCACAGGAACATCCTGGAGGCTGCTTTGCTGTTTCAATACGGGACTCCCTCTCTCTAGCCTGCTGATTATCTTGATGGCCCAACCACAGACTTTAACGATGGCACCACGAGGGCAGCCTCCAACAAGGGAATCTTCTGACTCATTGTTGGTTCCAATCCAAGTCTGCAAAAGGTCTAAACCTTCAAAACCATTAATGTGTTTCAAGCGAAAGTGGAGATTCTGAACGGTAGGATGGCCCCTGACGTTGTCAGCGGAAGTTGAACCCACCGTAAACACAGCGTAGGTACAAAAGCTAATCAACGAGCAGTTAATCGCGGCTTCGCAAAGACATTCAAGGCTCTCTTCATCCAGGCCTAGGAACGATAATCCAAGGATATCCAGCTCTTTGCTGAGATGCATCAGTTGAGTACATATTATAGAGGCCCTCGCTTTCGCGCTTTTAAAAGTGGACTGAATTCGCCGATCATATATGTTGTCGAAAACAGCACAATCAACACCAGAAGACTCGAAAGCTGGAACTGCGCAATCCATATTCATATCAACTGCGGGTTTGGTTGTATTTGGCAGGCTGTGGCTTGATAATACTAGATTTAAAATTTGGAGGATGTCAGTAACAGATTGTACCATACGAAGACGAATCGAAACAAACCATCGCTGAAATTCAAACGTCCTTTCAGAGCATACTCCAGCTGCAAGGACACTCCCTACTTGACGAAGAAGAGGGATGGCTTTCGCAGCAGCATCGCCAAATTTAAGAGTGAAATTATCACCTTGGTCCTTTGGTTCCGGAACTGCGCTGTTCATGTAACCTGTGTCAATATCCATGAGCTTCTCAGTATCATTTACTGCGCTAGTTGGTACTGGACTATCAGAAGACCTCAGATGTTCCTTGTTGCAGAATCCAACTGTCCTTTCAGCAGTTGCCAAAAGAGAGAGGCTTAAAAGCCAAAGGTAGCAACCTTCTGAGTGAACCTTTCTTGTGAGTTCGTCGACAAGAGTATAAACGGGTGACCAGAATCCATTTGTCGCTGCCTCCGAAGCTACTTTATAAGCTACCCAAACTTCTCCAATTTTGCTCATCTGATCAATACATTTGGTGATGTAGCTTTCGATGTTCTTTCTGTCATTAGAACTTCTCCCACTTAAACTCCAAATTCTAAGTAGTGGGGGAAGAGTGGCTCTTAAAATGTGACATGCAGAATCATCCCCGGAAACTTGTTTCGTCAGGTCCAGAAGTTTTGGAAGAATAATACAAGCTGAATTTGAATCCATTCCTGTAGTCCCTGCTCCTCTAACCCCTGCATACATGCAATGGCAAAGAGACAACACAAACTCTAATTCAACTTCCAGACCACTACCCACAGATTCGCTTTCTCGCAGAGACACCTTCGGTTCTGTGCTTTCCTTGCTATCCGTATCCATCGAAGTTACTGCCTCTTGCTTGCCAATCAGCAATCTTACATCCTGCACGTACTTCTGTGTGGCTGCTTTAATCAATGAAGAAATTGAGTCCAAAATCATGGGTAAGACCTCGGGACAGCTCTGCATAAGCCGCGCAACGAGTCTGGTTATAACTTGAAGCCTTGTGGGATCAAAATCGTTCTTCGTCTCCTGAATCTCGCCTCCTGTTACCTTGTTTCTATCAATCAACGCGGTGGAACCTTCTAACGCCAGTGTATCGCATAACAATAATCCTACCCTTGCTGCAAAGTTCATGTTACTTTGAGGAATTCTGGATAAGTTTTTGCTTATCGAGTTGCCATTGTACATAATTTGTTCTCCTTCTGAGACCTCCTTAGTGAACTCCCTCCCGAGTGTCGGTTTGTCAGCATCTGGGTAGTCACTCCCTGCCAAAAACCTGAGGAAACCAAGCTCACATCCAAAGGATCCCAAGCATTCAAGAGCTGCTCGCCTCAATGACCCAGCATATTGCAGAAGATTTAACTCAACGGTCAACAGCAGGCGAAACAACTCGCTTCTGTCTACCACTCTTACGAAATGGCCCGATAGCTGCAAAACGATAAAATATGTTGATACAGATCCGAAAGATGCAAATAAACTAAAAGTTTTGCAGCACGTCCAAAGCAGATTGTCCACAACGTTTCCTCTCCCCATCACCACATAACAGCATCTACAGAATTCTACTCTAACTATACATGGATTTCGTGCACCCAACGCCAATGACGTGAAATGCAGGAATGCTGCTAATTGAGTCCACGTCTGAACAGCAAAGTACAAACACAAACCTTCTGGAGGACATTGAATGCTAAAACTCGAAGTGCTGGAGCTGCGGCGGTATCCTCTGCAACAGAAAGAAGAATAGAAAAGTTCCAGTTCCTCGAGACTAAGGATCTAGCAGCTTGGGACGCTAGTTTGGAAAGGCAGTGAAGAGCAACAGCACGGACCGCGGCACGAGGATCCGAGCTCACGTACGCAAACAGCAACTCGACCTGCAATTGACCTGCCCACTTTAATATCAACAGGAGGTGGCATTGCAAGACTCACTAGCAAACAAAAGATCGGGTGAGGGACTATCAACTTCAGCCCACAACAGACCTGAAAGCAAGGTTTATCCAGTTATGAATAAGCTAGCGAGGAATAATCGATATAAAAGTGAGTACCATCACAGAAACCATTATACCTGGGCTTATGAAAAATTCTTACATAACACTCCACAGTAATTCAGATTTAGATGAGAAAATCTGTAGTGGACATAGAGGCCACACGATGCTGATATAGGTAACAGAAAACTATCCAAGAAAATTTCATGCAAAGGAAGTAGGTTGGAAGAATAAAGGCCTCAATACAAGTGATAGTAATTCCAAAGCTACATCTTCGTTCATCAAGCAAGATAGTAAAGTTAAAGAAATTCTACCTGTCTCTCAATAGTGAAAATTGAATTGAGTGCAAGCATCGTAAGTGAGGTGAGCATTGCCGACACAATATCTGTAGTGGGCAAACGCAGCATCAAAGATTCTCCTGCCTGCACATTATCATCAACATTAAGACCAAATTGAAGCTTCCAGAGAAATGTGACAAAATAAATAAACAAACACACAGATAGATACCACAAACCCCTTCAAGCGACAGAGAAAAAACCCTCTGACGTTCTTAGTTGTTAGAAGATTAACATTGGGTCAGAACACAAACCTCATGGGCTTTAAATGCGAGGTGAGGAGATACTCCAAGCTTAGAGAACACTCTAATTGCAGAGAGTTTCGTCGCCGGAGAAGACCCCATCGCATTCGCGATTTCCACAACTTTCTCCAAGACAATCTCTGCAAAACTTAATGACAACTCGCACAGACATCCCATAGCAAAGAGTGCCGCCTCTACCTGATGAGTGTCAAATATCACAGAACAGATAGCTTATGGATCAGATAAATATCTCCCAAACTGTTAATTACGCCAAATGAGCTGATGAAAATTAAAGGGACACGACAAACGTATGCGGGACATTTCTAGAACTTATAAATAAATACAAATAACATATTAGTACGTTTAAAATATCTGAAAGATACACAATGAGCTGCAAAGGCAGACAAAGAGACTGTCCTTGCAATACAAGTTGTCATTTTAAAAGATTTTACTGCGCATATATGAAGAGTTCACAAATTTTTCAGAAGGATGCGTTTATTGACCTCCTTCTGATGAGGTGACTCGAGGGCCTCGATGACTAGCCGTTGCACATCCAAACTGTCAGCCGCAATCTCCCCCAGGCAGCCTAACATCCTCAAAGCTAACGCCCTAGCCACCACATCACCGCTGTCCATCACAGATTTCACCCTTTTCAACACTTCTTGGTAATTAGCAATCCTCTCTTTTTTGAACAACCCGGTGCCATCACGTCGTCCTCTTCGTCGTATACTCTTGGAAACGAGAAAAAAGGCCTTCAGTATACATAGCCGGGTAAAGTTGTTTCCAGTTCGGAACGAGTCAGCGAGACGTTGCACCATTGCATTAGCGAAGGTTTTGTCCTGGCCATCAACAAGTTTGTAGAGGGTGGCAGTTTCTACAGAGGAGATTGGCTCATCATTCCACCACAGCATCCGCGGCCCTGTCTTCAGAATTGCTTCACAAGGTGCACCTGTGGAATCCCACACTACACTTTTACAATTTATCGAATACTGCGCTAGAAATAAACCAGAAACAGAGAACAAAACCATATCCACTCTATATCTCCATACATTCCACCAGATGAACTTATGTATCCATCTCATCCAATCCGCAACCCCGATCAGAGCAGTGATACAATTAAGGAGAAAATATCAAAACGCGTCATATATTGGTGGCGAATAGTCCAGACCTTTCGCACATCGCTTCATCATACACGCCGTCAAAATTAGCTTGTTCCACAGGAAACATTACACAAATTCCTAGGAAGCAACCACAATGTTTCCCTGACACTCTACTTCTGTCGCCAAGTAAGAGTGATCCGTCAGACCACGAAGCTTAAAATTTGGGCCAACCTAGAATAACACAAAGTGCAAGAGCAAACCTGGTCTGGTAAGACGCAAGCCGCGTTCGAGCTCCACGTTCCAAATGATGGCTTTGGCAGCAGCAATATCAGGCAGGCCATTCGCGGAAGGGGCACCGGGCACCCCGCTCGCACCCAATTGCTCCCCCATCGCCCTAGTTCAATCACCAAGAACCTCTCAAAGGCTCAAGTCTCGGCACTGCGCCTTCCGAATAAACCCATCTGCTCCTTCCAATCAAAACATGCCGAAAAGCACACACACACCGAACTCAAATTACTCTCTGCATCACGCCCTCCACCGCCTCCACATGCAGAGTGCTCGATCCACAGGGAGGGCTATCGGTTGAAACCATGTAGAGCTGGATCATTTTCAGAATCGTGAAGGTATACGATGCATCCTCAGCATGACATTGTTGATGATTGCCGCACCTGTGATCATCTGGTGCAGATAAGCGCATCAACTGCCCGATCTCCCGTTCGAACAAATCTCTAGGGATGCTGCGGAAACGCAGCCTTCACTCATGAACCCTGACGAAACACCGCTATTTCTATCACGGAATTTCAGACATAGCCGTTCCTTGTGGACGAGAGCCTCCCCACCGCGGACCGGGACCTGACTCTGTAATTTCCCCTCTATAACCAGCCTCGGATGTAAAGTCAGCTGACTCTCATATCGATGTACGAATCGTCTCAGTTGAAAATATCATCCTTCCAGGAGCGGATGAAAAACTGATCTTCGTCTTGGTGTAACTCGTAATTTAAATCTGACGACAAATTTAGTTTAAATTGAAAAAACTGTTTAATTTCAATTAAAGGCCTAGAACTGTTTAATTAAACAAATACATATATTTACAACTGAGGTCATTATTTGTGGGATGTGAAATTTAATGATAAGTACTACAAGTTGAAAGACATGAATATTTATCAAAACCAATAAAATCAGGTTTGAAGAATAAAATAAATTAGAAAAAGCATGAATAATCAGTCACCATTACATAATTCACATATATGTATATATACATATGTGTGTGTATACCATGTGTGTGGGTTTTGATGCCTCTTTTTATTACTTAAAAAAATTCTATTATAGAAAAACAAAGTGTGAGAATTTCTATTTTCAATTTATTGTTTCTCTTATCTCTTGACTCAAATGTTTCTAGAAACTTGTTGCCTGTACAGAGGTACAGTCTTCAGACCCAACTGTGTTGATTTGTGTTTATCAGCACCGATTTTCTGTGGCAATCTACGTTTGTTCAATTTATGTTTACCAGCAAACTGTAGGGTGTGCTCAAGGTGGGAGTTGCCAGAGTGTTGCCGAAGTGGTAGATGTCTTCACTGTATGTGTTCATGTAGAGAGATCTGCACTGAACAGATAATAGTGGTTATGATTTCCACAGTAATTGTCATGAAATCTATGTAATGAGTCTTTAGAATTGTGCTACGGAGCTGCGACGGGTCCAGTTTCTAAACCACAAAGGTCCTAGTCTAGTGCAAGTTTGGTTTAATATTCTGAAACTGAATTTCCACCACCCCAGTTTCCTCGGGGTGCAGACATTGTCGTTAATCTCGTTGCGAAATGCTGCAGCGAAGTTCAAAGCATTGTGTGCAATATCTGCATGCGGTAGGAACTCTGGTCTTGAATCGAATGATCATGTCATTAAGCAAAGGAATTTTTACTAGTGTGTCCCAAAACTAGGTCAATCACCTGTGACGATGAGACCCACCTATTGATCAGTCGTAGAATCAGAACTGTGTATCTGAACCCACACGCCTTTCCCAGCCACCTTTCTCTGGATTGGCCATAGAAGATAGTGGCTCTCCGGTGCCACAATTGAATTCGGCGGTGCCGTGACTGTGGTCTGATACATCCCCCTCCTCCCTAATTCAACCGGCTCCGTAATATTTAGCTTCAGCATCCGCTGTCCCTGTGAGAAGGAGTGCGTTGTGAACGGCGAACTAAGCAAGTTGAGTTCGAAATCACCCGTGCGATTGACCACTGTGAACACCGCCGTGAAGGTCAACGAGTATCTGATCCTCTTTGTGGTGAGGTTGAAGATCGAAGGCCGGATGTCCTCGTAGCTGGAGGAAGAATCCATGAATCAAATTAAACACGAATGGATTCATGATTAGAGATGTTGGCAGGTGTGAAAAGCAAAATGAAGGGTTTAGAAGAGAAGTGTACAAGAGAGGAGAACATCATTGACTTACCAGGTGATGGGTTTCAAATACAAAGAGATGAGTAGAAGGGTGGTAATTGTCGGCAGTTTACCTCGGATCTAGATAAGGGGGATCGAAGGCTTCAACTCGAAGTTCCGTGGGGAAGTCACCGGAGAATGTGTAATACTGGTGCGTGTTGCTCCCTGCAACGATAATGCGCCCGTCGGAGAGGAGATTGGCAGTGGAATGATACATTCTGGCAATGGTTGTGGCTTTCAGAACATGAAACCTTGCTTTGGCATTGTCGGGTGAGTATGTAACCGGCGAGTAGGCAGGGTTAGTGGCTTTGTTCCAGCCTTGAGATCCATTTTGAGCGCCGTTTATGATAAGCACGTCGGCAGTAGGAAGGATGACCATGTCACCCATGACGCGCCGGATGGGCATTGTCTCCATGACCCACTGCGGATCATCGGAGCTTGTTGCAACAATCCGACCGCATGTTTCAGACGCTGGAGAGTCCCTGCCCTTGGACTTACTATTCGCCCCATTGTGTGCACCTCCACAAACTAGCACCTCTGCAACCGTAAAATCATCGTCATGTCGCAAAGGTAACATCACTGATGACCCAGCGGAGGGATAGTTCCTTGGCTCACCCGGAATGGTCGGATACTTCCTCAGAACCTTGTGACGCCGGTAATCTAATAGGATGGCGTCTCGATTGGCGAAGATGAACAGGTTTCCGTCGGGCAACAAGTGCACGAAAGGGTACAAGTTGTCATTCTGCGCATCCTTGGTCTCATTCAAGAAGTTCAGCTCATATGATCCTTCACGGGACTTCCTTTTCGGAACGAACTCGTACGAGTATGACTCGATGCCTCCAACAACAATCTGGCGTCCGTCGGGGAGCAGTTGGTTAGTAGAATACCATCGCTTGTCTTTGAGATTCTCGGTATCCGACTCCATCCAATCGCATCCTCCATCTGGTCCACACGGGTCCAGGAGACGAACCTTGCGCATCCCATCAAAGTCGCCGCCTGTCTGCACAAGCGTGCCATTTGCGAAGAACTGTCCTGAAGAGCACCATGTGTCCGTGATGATGGTAAGCGGTCGCACTTTCCCAGATACTGGGTCCAGCATTACCGAGTGCGCACTGCAATCGTGTTTCAGCACACGATCCTGCGGGTTGTTGCGGCAATACCCGTTCGTGAAGTTAATCTCGGACAATCCAATGTTGGTTCTATCTAGAAAGATGACAGAGTCGTAGAAATTCACCGCAGTGTGCATAGATGCTATCCCAGCATTTGCCGTCAAAACTCTCCATTTACCATTGTAGGCGTTAACAGTAGCTACGTCCAATTTCAACAGAAACAAAAGATTGACCGTCCAGAACCTTAGAATTGTGGAGAAACAACTGGAACTAGCTGCTACCCTCATCCTCGCAGATGGGTACTAAACTCAAGCTTGCAAATCCGGTGGCAAATGCAGGGGGGCCTCTCTATTTACCCACAGCATTCCTCAAAGAATCTGCTCCAGTAACATTCCTATGCAATAACCTAAAAACATAATCAGCACTTATATCTGGGTTTAGGCCGAAAGTTCAAGCCAGATCCGTGACCTCAACAACCTTACGTGTAATTGTGATTGTTGTAGGTTGAAAAATAAGATCATTTAACCAAGATGCTCATTAAAATGACAAGTAGCATATTGACGAAGACTCCTGAGAAAAAACTAAGACCGTCAGAATTTCACGTTTTCTTGTAGTTGGGCCTAAGTTTTTAGTATTTTAACGAACCTGCCAAAATTAGTGATCATCTGATTGAGAAAGAAGTCACAACTGCATGGGAGTGCACGTCGGCAGCTCGTGAGTCAGTGAGATCTCGTGATGCAGTGACCAGTTGATTGCAGGAAGTATTAGTCTTCCAGTTTGAATTCGGTTTAGCCATTGAATTGTAGATGATGTGATTATTGACGTGAGGTTACTTCCAATTTTAGCAATTTTTATGTGACACAATCTCATAAATACCACATGTAGTCGGTATTAGTGCTCAATTAAAGCTTTATTTCAATATATTGTCATCCAACAGGCAATGAGATCCTAACTTTCCAACACTAATAGTCAGCTTGATCAAGATTAGGTGTGAAGTCCCAGTAATATCTACAATCTTGAAATAGCACCATCGCATTTTGTGACTTAACTACACTTTGAAACATAAATAGGGCTTCATGCATACAGACATCACAAAATTGCTCTCAACAAGAATGTGATTGCTTGGTTGGTTCTTTTATTTGGTGTTGTACACTCTACTTATATGTCATGCATAAAATTAATTATATGAGATAGATATTTTTGATATGTGAATTGAAATATTTTAAAACTTTTTTTGCTTATACATTTTGAGACCAATTCATTACTACAATTGCATGTTACAATTTAAATTACTTATATTCTTGTGCAATTGTTTCACATTTTAAAATCAAGTCTAAAAGGGTTTGATTCAAATTGTACCAATTTTGTATATTCTGTGTTTGTACCTACACATTCTGGTAAAATCTTGTTGCAAGTACCACATGTATCATATTTACAGAAATATAAAATCAAGCTCAAAACAAACGAACTCACTACTTTGGTAATAGATAGTAAGCATATCCAGATAGCCAGAACCAATACATTTTCTTGGATTTATTACGGCGCAAACTTCATGAGCCTGGGTGGGTACCAATGCAACGCAGATTGAAAGTCTTCTAGTATTCATTTGACAAAGATAAATTTCAATAGCGTACGTACAAGTCCGAATTGAGAGTTCTTCAAAGAACGAACTATTGCCTCACATTCTGTCTGAAGGCACTTGAGATCCAACAGTATTGGGAAACGTGGCGCAAAAGAATATTTACAACTTGCTGGATCGCAACGGCAGGTGAGATTCCTCCTTAGCTGCAATCTCAGAATACATTTCTGCAATGGCCGTTGCAAAGCGAGCCTTAGCTTGGGGTCGCTTCACCTGCACATACCCAAATTCATTCTAAATCATTGATCTTCATTTATTAGTTGAACAATAAGGAGAAAATCCAAGGAAAACTGCAGATCATTTCTTCAGGAAATGCACTTCTGGATGAGAATAAATCAGAGTTACCTTGAGCGTGGGTGTAAGCAATCCATTTTCTATTGAGAATGGTTCAGGAATCAACGTCACAGCTTTGGCAAACTCAAAACCTCGCAACTGCAAAGAAAAAACAATGAAGTATTCTCTGAAAAAATGAACCAGGTAGAAGCCTGTGACAAATCTTACACAGCTAAGAGAATTTCGGAACTGCGAGTCCATAGCAACACAAAGAAACAAAGGAACATAGAGAAATTGAATCACTCTGTTACAATCGCTACTTATCTATGCTTAAGCTGTACACTACTGTGGAAATAATTAAAACCAAACCTGTGCTTCGCGACCGACAGTATTCATATCCGCAAGCACAGCCACTCGTACAACAGGATCATCACATAGCCGCTTCAAATCATCTGAGTGCTGCTTCCACCAGAAACAATATATCTTAAGCTTTTATACTGATAAGGTTCATCAGTAATCATTGCAGCTCCTTGACAGTTTAAAGTTATTTAATGGTGCAATTACCACATCCAACTGACAACCAACGTAATATGCAAAAAGTAGCGTTCAGGATCTGCATGTTGGGCTATATGATTTTACTAATGGCTACTGTTGTCAAAGGAAATTAAGTAGGTCTATGAAATACCCACCTTCATACCCCTCGATTTTGCCCAGGCAGACAGAGTCTCTGGATCAACGACAGCAACTGCCACAAGACTCGAGTTGAAACTATCACCTGTGCATATTAATCACCAATTAGATATTTCAAGGAAGACGATAAAACATATATGGCAGGATAGACAATCAAGATAAAATAATATTAATAAAATAAAATAAAAACCTCATTTCAGATGAAAAAAAAATCTTAAGTCATCTACACCAGTTGCAACTTGTTTAGACCACAAGAAATGAAGAGTTCCTCCATTTAAAAAATGAACATACCATGTATGTAACACTGTGTTATGAAACGACTGCGAAGGTAGACATTCTCGATCTTCTCCGGGGCAATGTACTCTCCTTGAGCCAACTTAAAGATATTCTTCTTCCTGCAATGTGTGATGAATGACTCAACAAACACGAAGAACAGAACATACTACTTGTGAACATTCCTGAAAAAGTAAAAGCTAAATTGATCCACTCACGACACCAGAAGTATAGAGTAAATCTAACGTTTTGCCCTGGTATAAATCAACAGACGTTTCAAACGAAAAATGGCAAATATCATACACCAATCGCGATAATTAACGACAGTACCTGTCGATGATTTTGAGCCGACCACCTGGCAACCAACACCCAATATCACCAGTATGTAACCAGCCCTCTTCATCAAAAATCTCCCGTCTGCAATAAAAGTCAACTGTGAACGCCAACTTCCTTTCAAAATGTCATGGGTAGCAAGTAAGCAAGAGCAAGGCAGGAAGAAAAAGAGCAAGAGGAGTACGTTTGAACTTCATCTTTGTAGTAGCCTTTGAACAATGTGGGGCCTCGAACACAGATTTCTCCTCGCGGGTAAGGTTTGTCGTCGTTAGTGTATTCCATCTCCGGAACATCAGCAAGCTTAACCTCTGATATATAAAGTCAACAGAATCCAATCAATCATATTATCATACGTCTTAAATGTTTTTGGTAAGCACTGGCTATTAAGTACCAAGCCACAATCATGTTAAGTTACATCCTTGCTACAACCAGCAATAACTAAGCCGAAGCGACATGAAATCTTTACCGCAAGATGGGCTTGGGGCTCCAACGTGCCCAGATGTGTTGTCTCCGCGTTGAGAGCCAGCAATCAGGCACGACGTTTCCGTCATTCCATAGCCTTCAGAAACAAAACCACCAAAACAACTGCAACCAAGAAATGCAGGTGGGAGTGATTAGATCAAAAAACTTGTCAGATTATCCTTCAGAATTACAAGCACTTCAATGTGATTTTAGACCTACTGCTAAGTAAAGAAAAACGAATCACACATTCAAGAACTAGTGCAAAACAGTAACAGCTCATTGAGCTAAGTTAAAGTCGGTAAAGGCACCCACATTCTTAAGAAGTCCAGAACATCTGGGGATATTGGTGATGCGCCTGACAAGATGATACGAACTCGTCCCCCAAGAGCTGCCTTCACTTTGTTAAAAACCAACCGGTCCCACATGGGTGAAGGAGATTTTCCTGCAAGATAACAAGACAAAAACTTAAAGAAGCTTTCAAAAGAATGAAATGCTGACAAACAGGTATGCATTTATGACAACATTAATTTCAGTTTAATACGAATCATATGCGAAACAATAACATGAGTGGCACAAATTTTAGACCAATAATATGAGGACATAAATCCTTATAGAGGTGGAAAATAATAAGCTACAGTGGAGGTAGTAGAATCTCACCCTTCTCAAGTGCTTGTTTCTTTGCATTGTAGGCAACGTTAAACAGCTTCTCACGTAGTCCACCTGAAGCCTTCACTGTTCCCGTGATTCTGTTACATCAATAGCATCAATTAGAGAAACGCAGAGTTACAGAAGATTGATTGACGTAACGAGCCGAAGGTTTCCTATCTGCCCCTTTTCACAAACAAAGATGTAATTACTACACACTCATGGACAAGCATCAAAAGTCATAATTCGAGACCATTCGTCTAGAAAACTCTGCAGCTGTCAAATATCACCTTCAGAGACTCACTTATCATAAATGCGATTATAAAGACGTGGTACACTGGCGAATATTGTAGGTTTCAAGGTTTCCATATCATCCATTAGCTTCAAAATATCCTGCACGACAACCACGAAAACTGTAGGTCTAAGAGGCCAGCTGGAAGACTCTTCAAAACTGGTTAACACCAGAAGAACGAAAACGCTCGAGACATTTAGGTGTTGCAAGTTCTGTGATCATCTTTACACATAAAATTTCCAACACACACTACTAAACTATCCTACCAGACTGCTATGAGGCCACGTGCCAGGCCTTTGAAACGTAAGAGTAAAGTGAATGATTCTAATACGTCAAGAGTTCCAAGAGTCTTGAAGAGGTCATTCAGTTGTGATAGAATCAAACATCAAGCGCAATTTATGAAAAGTAAATTATGACTAGAAGGTGACACGACTACAACATTGCATAGACGAGATACATGGATAATAACCGTTACAAAAATGATCTAGTATTTAGGTGAATAATGAGATGACTAATAACAGTTCCTTACTCCTTGATAGAAACCAACTGCCACACCATGATGCAGCATGACAAGCATGTTCATCCTCTCGTAAATATGAGCAAGTGGCAGATACGAGATATGCCTGTAGGCAAAACAAAACCAAGAAAATCAAGAAAATACAAAGGATCACGTCTAAAAAAAATTAAACATCATAACCACACAAAAGTAGGAAGAAGAATTTGTCAACTTACACGTCAGAGGGGTAGATAGGTGTAGATTGGCTACTCCCAGCAGCGCTTGCGACAAGGTTGTGGTGAGATATCATTGCTCCCTGTTTCCAAGGTGCCAATGTTAGTCCAAAATGATTATACAAAGCACAAATTTCAGCCCAAGGCATAAAGCTGGTCTACCATGAACTCAGTTAATGATAACAGCAGTCTCCATGCAAAGCCTCAAATGCAACAGTTTCTTAAAATCATAGACAAATGCATAAAGTACTCTGAACTTGGAAATGGATAAAAGTATAACATGGAAATTGAATAGAATTAAGAGGACCATCTCCAAAAAATATTCATCATATGCTACAATTGGTTAGGAGAAATCCACCGCACGTTACGTCACATTCAAAAAAACATGTGATTCGTCAGATATTCATTCAAATTCAAAATAAAATTTTTTAAAATATGGTAAAATGGCTACAGTTTCGGGGTCAAAAGTCTACTCCAAATACCTTGGGAACACCAGTAGTACCACTTGTGTAACATATAGTAGCTAGATCATGTGGCTTTGGTGCCACAAATGCTCGCTGATCTGCTTTACCCTGTTGGAAACACAAGATATCAAACTTAAGTGACCTCGTTATTATTGCGAAGAACTGTTTCAGCAGCATACCCTCATTTTGGTTTTTTGATCGATGAATTTAAGATCCTCTACACTTGACATCCGTGTTCAACTCCAAAGACTTTTTTGATAAAAATCATTCAGCAGGTTCTGAACCAGCTGAAGAGAAAAATAAAATTTAAATAAATATATAAATAAATAAACTGCAGAAGGTAATTCTGCGGGGATGGACAACGGTACCTGAGCTTCGAGTCGAGAGTAAGGCATAATTTCAACCCCTGACTGGGGTGGGAGTGAAGGCACTAAATTCTCAGCACCTCCCACAACCTACGTCTCACAACAGAAATATCATTAAATGCAAAACGCAAGCAAAGCAAGGAACCTTCAAAAGTTACATTCTGCATCTCTGAAAACGCAACGCGGCCAATTTAGTCATACTAGAGCACCAGAGATATTCACATTGAGGACCCATCAAACCAACCTAAATAACACTAATTTCACATTCTTTGTAGTAGGACAATAATCGTGGACAATAAGATTAACACTGAAATATGCCTAGGGTTTGCCAAATGAGTAGAACATCACCAACAGAAACAAGACTACTTGAACCGAATGCAACAAAGAAAATTGTAACAGTGCCTACCACAATGAGCCGTAAACTTGGCAGTTCCGCAAGACAACTCAGTAACTGCTCCAACCCATCCACGCCAAAAACATATTAGATGTTTCCCAACACAGCTATCATAATATAACTTTTTGATTCAATCGCACAAATTAAAGGTGAATCCAACAGAAGCAACTCACAGTCTGCAATTTGTCTGGGGTACAAAACACAGCAGCGACTTCAGCATGGTTGACAATGTATGTCACAGCATCAGCTCCTGCAATCGACTTTAATAAGTTGATGTACTCAAATCTTCCCAAGAACTAAGAAGTTATTCGCAAACTGAGCTTGGTCTAGCAGCTTCCAAATTATTATCACATCAGGTTCTTACTAAGAACTGATTAGTTACGAAAACAACTCAAAACTAAGAGTCTGATTAGTTACGAAATCGAGACAAATAAAGACATTTAGCTAGTCTGTTCAATGTTGATATTTCAGAGAAGGGTGCAGCTTACCAAGAGTGTCATAAAGTGGAACAGACACATAGGAATAAGCGACACATGCTAGTTCTGAGATGACCCATTCTGCTCGATTGATCATGTATATTCCAACACATGAACCCTGCGCATACCGAAGTCAACAGTGCTGAACCAGGGAAAACCTTTTTAGAGAAGCCTGGAAGGTAAGAATACAAATCACATTCAACAGGCATTGGAAGCCTGACAGTTGAATAGAAAGTTACAGAAGTACAATTTTCTCTGAGATTTTCTACCAACTTATTCCGCCATTTTAACTGTTTCCAAACTTAAAGTGCTTACCTTAGGGATACCATGCTGAACAAGACCTGATCCAATCGCAGTGCGTGCCGTTCCTACCTCTCCATAAGTCATCCACCTATACCTGAAGTAAGGACAGTCGTGAAGAAAGTGAGACAAGGAAACAAAAGACCCCCGCCACCCTCAGAAGTGAAGCTTTCATTGCATCACATAACACATCCAAGATATTCAAGCCCCAAACAATGTCGTGAGTCTAGCTTACGGCTCGTATTTACAAGAATTTGTCACTTAGATATACTCCACGAAATAAACAGAATTACAGTGCATTGATACGAAAGCATAAAGAGGAAAGGGGCAACTTACTCGCCAATTGTACCATCCTCTCGGATACGAGTTCCCATACATTTGTTCTCTGCAAAGGCCCCCTTCGCGTACCTTCAGATGAAACCATGCAAGCAAGGTATTGTAAGCAAGCAACAATACAAGTGTGTTTGTGAGCAAGATACAGAAACACCCACAGTGTAAGTAGTTCCACACATCACCATCGTGCCTCAAGCAGTACCAAGGCTAATATCAAATGGTCTAAAAATCAATATATTCGCTACACAGCAGCAAATCAAGATATAGCAGGATAATATTTACAACCAGGAAACATGGATGTCTTACACAAAGTTGTCGTGCAGAGTTCTAATCTCTGGGTGTTCAGGCCAATGATCCATGAGCTCAAGGGGGCTCAGCACTGATCTGTAGTGACCCAAGCCACAGAATCAAATCTCTTGATTAAATAACCAAACCAGAACACCTTCACCTTTCGTTGACTTCAGCGGAAATGTAGTAAGTAGAAATTGAGCACACAAAAGATTTATATAAGAAGCAGAGAACATTACAAGATTAAAATATTCGATAAACACAGTTCATAAACCAAGTCATACAGTTCTCTACATATATCAGGAACCAGCAAATAACTTGCCTTGTTGTGTTGATTTACATTAATGGGTTGCACATGGTATTTTAGAAGGCATTGCACACGATAAAGGAAATATTCGGTGCAAAGAGACCGAAATAAAAGCAGGATACCTGTGAACGTTCCACTTTCCCGTGCTCAATTTCTCCGGCAGCTTTACACTGTATACTTCCTCTGCGCAAAACATAGGCGATAATGAACAAAAAAGGAGACTCAATGGCCAACTTACAGACACAAGCTAGCTTCAACAAGTAATCAAACTAAGAACAACCGCCAAACCAGCGCAGAGGATGCGAGGAAAACAAGAACTAAATACAAGGAGCTGTACGTCTACGGTATAGCCCAAATGTACAAAAATTCTTCGTGACACCGCAAAACATTAGTGATCATATACGGGCTACCAGAACAAAAAAAAGACGACTAAGCCATTGGTAACCATTAAATGCGCCCACCTACGATATATTCGGCAGCCGTTGGTTGATTCTCCAGTTGTGGACGCTCCTCTGCACAAAAGAAAGTTATGAGTGAACAAATGCTCAAGGTTTTAGTTCACAGTAATACTAGCAACACCATTGAAGGCCAAAAATTAGCAACACAGCTGCTATAACAAGATTATAATTCGGCAAACTATGCACCAATACAGAGATAACGACCGCACCATCTTCACAATAACACCATACACTACAGGAAAAGAGGATGCCGTGCGTGCTGTACATTACTGGCATCCTGCAGTAGATATTTCTCACCACCTCTGTTTTTCCTCACTATTTTTAAGTGCACGCCAATTCTTCCCACAATTGCATTCTAGCGGTACATCGAAGACTCAAATTAGATATCCTGAGATACATACCTGAGGCCCTCATCTGCAAATGTGCATTCACGATGCGCATCCGCCTGTCTTGTGTGGTCTCCATTACCAGGGGATCCGCCTCCATCTCTCCGCCCACTGGTGGCTTCTGAGTATTGCAGTCTCAAAACTGAACAACAACACGACCACATGAAACTCACAGTTCCTATTAACAAAAAGATGCAGCTCATTGATTGAATGAAACTGTGCAACGGTTTGAGAACAAAACTTTATCAATTCGAACGATATTCTTAAATTGCGAAAGCAACTTTAAGCGCATCACTGTAAATTGTCGAAGCTTGCCGTTCGAGCAATCGCGAATCGGGAATCATGCACGAACTGCAAACCTAAAAAAAGATAAATGTTGACTTAAGCCATGGACTACGTCGGCAATTTGCGAACAACAGCAGTAAGGAGACTTCTGACCCCCATGGATATCCTTTCAAGTCAAAAACAGCCATGTATGCAGCAAGATGAAAGCTATTGACATACCTCAAGAAGATAGATAATCAACAATTCCAATGTGACATTGACCTAAATCGAAATTGAGTTAATGGTGCAAAAAAAACAATATGAATTACTTTCATAAAGCTACTACGTTTCAAGTATACCCCCGTTTCACGAAAGAATCCCAAGACCATGCATCAAGCCCATTAATCCGCCTAATTGGGTATTCAATATGAACCCAAATCTCCAGGAGAAAAATTCTGTTTGTTGGTATTTTGGACGAGAGACAAAGCAGGAACTTCAAAACCATTCAGCGAAAGAAAACAGACCGCTATTACATCTCAAGCTCCACAGCACACAAGAACTAAATGAAAGAGTCCTAGGTTTTATATGTATCAAACGCAGCGAGCAGTTCGTCCACTTGTAACTTACTCGTCGTCTAACTCTAGCTTTATGCGACCCCAAAACATAACTAGTACCACAGACGCATCATAAATTTAGTAACGCCAACACTGCCCCTTGGGGTGATCATCGTAACAGATTGCAACCAAGTTTCCTAACGTAGCCGAAGAATTGATGGGGAAAATACGGAATTGCCTTCTTGTCCAGCCATGAAATCTGATGAAGATTTTAGTCTTCAGCTTATTGGGATACTTACAATATACGAACTGAAAGGCTTGGAAGTCAAGTCATCATCGGCTACCAAGGTCAAACATTAGTCCACACTCAAGAGTCTTCCCGTGCGACTCATCACACAGACGGTCGACCATTACACCCCCTCACAAAAATTTAAAAAACAAAAAATAAAAATAAAAATGAAAATCTCCTAAAACTGGCAAAAGCCAATTTCACAGTTCCGATCAGAGACCTGCAGCTCAACGCTGCATAAATCTATGTTTGACACAATCCCTCTAGAACTACTTGGCAGAAAACCTTTCATTTCACAAAGCTTCATCACCCTACTCCCAAAACCCACAAGTGCGACACAATGTTGAGTGAACAACACAATTTCGGAAATTTGCAAAATTCTCACTCACGGTAAAACCACACCAAAAACACACGAAACCACCAAAACGTCGAAATCAAACACGAAACTCACAAGCACACTTCCACTTCTTCTTGTTCTGCTTCTTTCGTCTTCGACTACCTCGTCTTCTCCGACTGAGCTTCCAGGCACTTGACTCTACTTCCCACTTCAAGTCCGACGAGATCCTCGAATCATAAGCTTAGAGCGATTTCCAGCCCGAGGGGTGACGGATGGCAGATTGAAACGGTGACAGTAGCTGGGATCCGCAGAAGTAGAGAACTTTGAAGTCATAGCAAGTGTCTTTTAAAGAGTGGGGCCAATGGGGAAGCGGGAGAGAATTGCGGGGGGCTGGATAAAGATGCAATTACGGTGGAGATGCGTTGCGTTCGGTGGGATGGCGCAAGCAGGCATGAGCAAATCATCAAAAAAGGGTAAGGTCCGCGAAAATCATCCGAAGGGCGTGGCGTGCGAGCCTCGCCTGCGCCACCGCGCCACTGACATCCCTCCCAAGCATGGCTCTCCGATGGATTAGTAGCTCACTAATCCAGGCGCTCATCCACCCACTAATCATGTCACTAATCCAGCAACTAACAAGCTTCGTGGTATGACTCTTTGAACCAACACTCCAAATCAAACTCGATCTTATCCATTCCACTCTTCTCTGTGAGTATTTTTTTTCTCTTGTACTGGACTCGCAGTGTGTATGTGAAAGCCTAATGCAGGTTTAATATTGTACATTCAATGAAAAATCGTTGCTGTGGTGAGATGATGAATTTCGATCACATTTGAGGAATTTGAAATGCTGCAATCAATTGCAAAATTGGGTGGTTTTGGAAAGCGTTGAAATGCTTGTTGAAAAGATTAAGTGCTTTCTTTAATATATATATATATATATATATATATAATTGCTGCATTCAATTTTTTAGATATGTGCATTGCAAATATAGAAATATATAAGTAAACATTTTAGGAGAATTTATCAGGAAATTCACTTGCAAGTTTAATTCACTTCTCACCATGACAAAGTTTATATGACACATGGAAGATTTGGGACTAAAAAACATTTAAGATTTCTCCTCTTGTATATTTTCTTAAAATCATTATTCAAAGAAAGAAAACCTTTAAAGATAGAATTGTAAATAAAAATAAGTTACAGTAAAATTGTATACTGCATATAGGGACTTAATTAAAATCATTGTTTGATCATGAATCATATAGATTGAATCAAACATGCATGATATCACCACTTTATTACACACACCCCCCCAAAAAAAAAAAAAAAAAAAAAAAAAAAAAAGTTATTTCAGTAAGATCGTATTCATTTATGTGTTCAATGTGCTTATGATAAAATTCTCAAAAATGTTATGTGGACTTGTAAAAGAATTCCAAATGCAATCATCATTACCTGAATTTTTTTTAAACTAATGAAGTTTAGAAAGAAATGTAGAATGTGTTCCCTTTTTTCTTTTCTTTTTTATGTCAAGTCATTCAAAATGTTATTATTACAGTCCAATAAATTAATGAGAAAAAATTATTCTAAGATTCTGATAATACAAAAAAATGATACTATAAAAAAATAAAAACCATCTTTAGTTCGTGTAAAAATGTAAGAAATGAATCAAATCTTTTGCTGTTATAAAGTGTTTAATGATCTAATTATTAAATGCTTGAAATATCAACTGAATACTATTCTCAACTTGAAACTAAGCTTATTCAGAAAATACACTGCCTCTTAGAGTCATTTATAAAAATGTAAATTACATCTTTTTTTAAAATTCTGTTAAGGTCAGACAGTTGATTAAATAGAAGATCATCTACATGTATTGTTGCATTTACTCTGCTTTTTGAAACTGGTTAAATCGAGATTATAAAATTGAATATTCATTTTAAAACTTGTTTATGAATTTTGATGAAAAGACATTGTATATATTTTTTAAATTACTTTTTTACAAACTTTCTTTCTACAAATTTGTACTATCTGGAGGCACTCTTTGATCCAAAAACTAAAAAATATATAAATTTGTATTTATTGTAAAAACTAAATGAAATATAAATTTACATGTATGTATGTATGCTGGCACATGTCGTCCTCAAAAATGAAGTTCTAAAATTTAGCTTCTATTTTATGAACTCAAAAAATTTAAGTTGTAGTAAATTTTGCATTTGTATATATGTAGGAATTAATAATGCTACTACAACCTACTAGCCACAACATGCCATCCACACCAACTTGAAGATCACGATAATATTTTTCCAATTTGAACATCAACACCACCTATTATAATTGTAGGAGGCATTGAAATGTTGTATCACAATTATATAACTTACAGCTTGGCTTATCTCTTGCAAATAGGCAACTAAAGCATTACAACTTATGAAGGTGCTAATAATATTAATTTGCATGAGAAAGAAACATTACATAGAAAGTTGTGAACAAAACATTAGATGCATTGTAAACAAAAAGAGCATATGAGATGAGGGAACAAGAGAAGTACATAAGATATTGAAAGACTATACATTAAAAAAATGGAGGATTATGGAATTAATAACAAAAACTATGGTGACATTAGCAATACTTGTGTATATGTATGTATGTGTGTATATATATATATATATATACATATTTAGTATAACAAGGTATAGATAAGATATTTGTATTGTTGACACATAGAGTTAGATAGTTGGAATTATGTTTCAGAAGTTTTTAGAATTGGAGGCTAGGTTAGTAGGCTGAGTAGAATCTATTATGGAACATTCTAGAAAGAACTTAGGGCGGTTATCTAGAAATGACTTAGGATAGTTATTTAAATAAGGTGTGCTATAGAACCTTCTAGAAAGAATTTAGGGTGGTTATCTAAGTGGAGTCCACCATTAGGAACATTCTAGAAAGTTCCAAGATGATTGAATAAAGCATAAATATGATTGTCCAAGGCCTTTCAGGCATCTAATCACATATGGTTTTGGACCTTTTTTCTTAGTAAGGTTTGATTTTGCATCTTTCTATTCAGTTTTGTTCTATTCTATTTTCATTTGCAAAGTTTTTTTTTTCATGTTTTACTTTATTTAATTTTTTTCAGTTTGTTCTAGTCCGTTTTGTCTTACTCTATGATGAAATTTATATTGCTGTGGATTAGAAGGATCTTAGATTCTTGAGATAGACATGTCATGTTTCACTTAGGCTATAAGCACATCTCAAATTGTTATACGCACAACTATTATATCTATACACATATCTCAAATCGGCTACTCTAGACTCTCTTTTCCTTGTCTAAGGATTGATCAAGAATCTTCTTTCTCTCTTCTTTGTTTACATTTAGGTCCTAGACCTCCTCCTCTTATTTCTTGTCCCAATGGTGGGACTAGGAAGTTAAGAAAAAAAATCCAAGACTTGGTTGAGACAAGAAAGAAGGAAAGGAGGTCCAAAATCTACACCAAGACAAAGAAGAGGAGATCTAGAATAGCCAATCAGTGACCTTAGATGTGAATATATGCATAATAGATGTGTATATAGTAGTTTGGATGTACATATTGCCTGAGCCATCTATATATATATATATATATATATATATATATACACACATACAAATAAATAAGGAATATTTTTTAAAAACTATCAAAATGATGAAGCATTAATGCATTATTAAACACAAATTACTTGTTAATAAATACACACTCTTAAAAGTCTACACAACACATACATAAGTTTTATAAAATCCTTATGTATGTTGCTTGCTAATGGTATTTCTAAAATTTTCATTACAAATATAAAGACAAATACCTCTTGAGTCAAAACAAAGTTTCAAAACAAAAAAAAACAAAAATTGCTCAAAATTCACAAATGAGTTTGAAAAATATTTCTAATACCATGTACATATTAGCAGAAATATAATTAAATAAAGAAAAATAAATAGCAGAAGAAGTAAAAGATGTTCACAAGAATTCCTTAACAATTCCTCAAAGAAATTACTTCAAATGCACAATATTATTTTCTGTACCCATTGAAGTGCTTGATTTTTGCTTGAAACACTTTCAGACAAATGACAAACCTGACAAACAACAATAACAATCATAAAGAAAGAAACATGCTCTTTAGTTTCCACAACATAAACAACTGGAATAATTGCAGTGTCAATGCTGTTTAGCTGTGGACATTCTATAGTTTTATAAATAGCTCATTCCCTTGAAGGCCCTATCGGTTTTCGGACAACTTTGGTGTCGTAAGAGGTTAAGAAAGGTGTTCCCTTTGGACTTCCTACCGTGTACAAATGCATCAGAAGCAGCTGATTCGAATTCTGAAGCATCTCAAAAGCTTGGAGATCACCATATTTCTGTGGTACACCATGACTTTTTCTCAATAAGACAAAATTCATCCCTAGTTCTCTATAAAGGTGTCGAGTGAAGCAGCAGTAGTGTGCTGACTACTTAGTCGAAGGGTGTGTTGTTGCGAGGTCTTAAACGCCTCCGAGGAACTGAATTCTCAATCGGCATCACATGGACAGTGTTCATGTCTACCAACTCCTCATTGCTTGTAACTTCGTCGATAAGAGGTTGAAAGATTGGGCTGTGTCGACCGAAAAATACCCGATGTGAAGCTGATATTAGGTGTGACTTCGAAATGTCCTGGTTGCAAGGGGCTCGAGACGCTGTTTTTGCAATGCAAAAAACCTGCATTTGTTTAAGCATTTCATTCTGCGGGCGAGGGCACGCAGAAAAGTCCGGCATAGTCGTTAGCTCCCACCTGTTCCAACTCGCTCTCAAGATACATTTCAAGCTTAGAATTGCATTATTCGCGGAGTTCAAAATTCTAAAACTGCCCAGCAGAATACTGTGTACTTCAACATTATTGCTTCCGATTGCTTCCTAACACAGAATTCAATGACGCTGGTTCTGCCCACCTCAAACTAGACACTGACATGGGCTCATTAACAAGAGAATGGCGGCGAGAGGCGTGAGGCCAGGAAGCACCCTCTTCAAGACTACAATCTAAACTGCGCATAGTGTGCAATGCAAACAACGAATGGTCTTATCTTCAAAAATTGGCTAA